GGTTAACATTGGGCAGAAGAACTGAGTTCATGGCTCAGAGTCCTTTATTTAAAGCTTTACCACAACTTAAGATCATTTGAATTCCAGTGCTCTGTTGACCTCCTCTAAAAGCAGTGTCTTTAATAACTCTGCTATTTTTTCCTCTCATGCCAAAGCATCAGGGCATGAACAAACAAGGGCACAGCCTTGCTTTAAACCTGTTCACTCTTTGGTTCTGGAATACGCTGTTGGCACTGCCAAGATGAAAGGGTTTTCATCTTGGGATGAAAGGTTTTCTTGGGAGCACTTAGATTGATCCCAAGAAAAAAAAATGGACTTTGTGAGAGGAAGATATTGCTAAGGATGATTATACCTGATTCACTGCTGTGTCTTCAGTGGCTCACATGGCACCTACCACATATTAAGTGCCCAGAAATGTTTGGTGGTGACTCATTGACCATTTATAACTTTCTGGGGGGAGAGAGATAACAAGGAATGGGCAGGAACCAGAAAAAAAAAATCATAAAATACTAGAACTAGAAGTGAACAGAGAACCACCTAGTTAGTAATCTCAGAAAGCCAGCCCTGGTTACTGCAGTTGATACTGAGTATCCTGTACCACCAGGTTCCAAGGTTAGTAGCTGGTTGGCAAGGTGAATGTAGACTGCGAGTTTAGGCACATCAGCTTGGTAGGCTGGTATCAGCCAGCTCCCGACACTTTCTTTGGATATTTAAAAACATATCCTTAAGGATTCATTATAGGGGAATTACCTGTCTCATACTACTTGGTTTTTAATAGCCATTCATTTACCTAGATGCACAATGATAAAGACTTACTTCAGGCTTAACGAGGCCTCGGTCAGTCCAAAGACAAGTCCCCAGTCACAAAACGTTGAATCAAAAACTTGTATGAATGGATATGCTCATTAAAAATATCTCCCAGATGCAGATTTTTTTTCCCCCTTCCCTAGACTCTACGGAGAGCAGACCATGAGCAGTCTGGGTTTTGCTCCGTCTTCACAGACATGGGACTTGCAGGAAGGCTGGTTGTAGCAGCAGGAATTTAATACTGAGATCAGCACTTTCTCTGGATTGGATTTGAATTTTTTATTAATATTATGCTTGAGCCCCGAGAAGATTCATTGAGCCAAGCTGACTTACAACACTAAATGACTAGTTAACCGTACATACTAATCACATAAATATGGTTTATGGAATGAAATAAAATGGTCTATGAAATCACTTTTAAGCCATCTTTTCAACAGTAATTACACCCACCCTGGAATACCTTAAACCAAGCAATATTGGCAAGAATTAGCCTGAACATCTTTAATATTCTAATGATTATCATACAAAATTGCCACTTCAGTGAAATGACAGGGTTGTTTTAATTTCTGTTCTTCCACTGCATTTCTCTTTCTTCCCCCCTTCACATTTAAAACATACTTCATAACATTTCATCATGAGAGAAGGCTGCCGAAGTTTCCACTTGCTGTAATTTAGTTAAACCATAAAATTGTTTCCAGATTACCAGCCATGAAATGGAGAGACAATCTTATTTATGAATTTATAAATCAGATAATCTCCTTCAAATGAATCCTGAAACCAGAAACACTTTGATGATTAAACAGGAGGGAAAAAGTTTTCTCATTACCATGTGTCAAAAGAATTGTATTTTTGCAAAGTGGTTTTGGCCGAGACAGTGGAACACGCGTGTGCAGTCCGTGTACACAGCGCCTGGGGCCTGCACTGTCTCCTGGGCACGGGGAGAGAATCGCTCCCTCCTTGGCCGTCAAGCTCAAGTGTTCCGAGCTCTCCATGTTCTGATAGATCTTATCTCCTTCCTGGTGACCCCACTGGTGACATAACCTGGAAGAGGCTACCCAAGGAGCTTCCAGTCCTGTCCTCAAAGATGCAAACAGAAGAACAAGTATGTGAGTATCTGGACTGAATGCAGGGTTTTCGCTCCAAAACATCTAGACCCTCATCCCAGGCAGGTCTGCAGGCTCTGTCCATGTCAGTCCTAGAAGTCAGGAGAGTGGCATGCCGTTCAGGGGTTTTCTTTCTCTTCACTCTAAAAGCATTGTCTGGGGTAAGAACGGTGAGAGGCCGAGTACAACTGCGCCACGGAGGATGCCAAAGGCATGGAGGAAGCCCTGTGGGTGCCTCTCTGAGAGGACTCATCTGTGCCATACCATTCTGCAGTTCTCACCATGGTGATGAATCTGCTGAAGATCAAAGTCCTGAGTCTGGGTTGATTCTGGTGATTTGTTAAACCAGGTCATGATAGCTGGGGACCACAGAGGGACCAGAGAGAACACTGATGTAGCCCTAATCAGCACTGTGCCTAGGCCAGCACTGGAATCCATCTGCCCTTTCTCTCTCCCACAGACTCCTGCTTATTCTCCGTAGCTGTGGACTTACCTACTGCTCACATCTCTTGATATTATTGTCTCCTGGGGGCAGTTAGTTTGTCACCATGCCTTTGTATCCTGCACTCCAGCTTCAGAGAATCAATTAAGCCTCTTCCTAACCAAAAGAATGTCCTGCCATTTTGTAAAAATATATATTTAATTACTTCACTGCATTGGGTCTTAGTCATGGCAGGTGCGGCATGCAGACCCTCTGAGTTCTGGCATATGTGATCTAGTTCCCATGCTGGCTCTTAGCATATGGGATCTAGTTCCCAGACCAGGGATTGAACTTGGGCCCCCTGTGTTGGGAACATGGAGTCTTAGCCTCTGGACCACGATGGAAGTCCCTGCTTTCCCACTTGAAAAGAAAAGAAACCCTTTGCGTTTGTCTAGGATTGAATAAGAGGGGTAAACTAGTGCCTCTCAAGGTAGTTCTGAGAGCACCCCTGCTCTAAGGGTCATGAGTTTGGCTTCCAGCATTACCATGGGAAGACTGGGGATTCTGAACAATGTCCACCCGGAATGCATGTGTGTGTATGCCCCACACTTGGAGATCAGCTACCACCCCATCAGTCCTAAGGTGCTGTGCAACTTGGGTCCGATAAACTTGGGATCACCAGTGAGTATTTATTAACCTGTTTTCTTTCTTTTTCTTTTTATATTTATTAACTATTTATTTGACCGTGTCAGGGTCATAGTTGCCACACGCAGGAGCGCCATTGCATCATGTCGGATCTTTTGTTGCAGCCCCTGGACTCCCTAGTTGTGGCGCATGGGCTTAGCTGCTCCATAGCAGGTGGGATCTTAGTTTCCCAACCAGCGATCGAACCTGCATCCCTTGCATTTGCAAGGCGGATTCTTAACTATTGGACCACCAGGGAAGTCCCTAACCTGCTTTCTTGAGTGGGATTTCTTACTAATTTTCCTCTTTGCCCCATGCACAGCTTTATGACAGACAGGACGCTGAGAACACACACATAACTGAAAATGCTCACAAGCTCAGAGGTTTAAAACACTTGGAAAGTCACTCCAGGTAGACGCATATCTCTGCTCACTGAGAGAGATCCTACTACTACTAATTCTCACCCCCTGGCCCCACCCCATGGTGGGTTGACAACCATTAATCCTCCAGACTGCATGACTTACATCCTAGAAACTCAATATTGTGACACAACCATTCATTTTAAACTAAAGAAAAAATTGCATGGAATTCTGAAGTCAGAAGCTTGTAATTGTGAAATGAATCTCAGTGTTTTCTACATCACTGAGGGTTATATTCCAAAGGCAAAGTGCAAAGCCAAAAAACTGTATGAGCAAAATTACTCTTGAAGATCCTCTTACTTGCCTTGAAGTTCAAGGTACAGATGTAGCATCTCTTGTGAAGTCCAACATAACCAGTTGTTTTAAGTGAAAGAACGGACCCCCATGACCTTTTCCGTTGGGTACCAGATAAAGTGGTTGACTTGTGTTTAAAAGCCAGTGTCTGAATGTGCAGTTTGTCACCCAGGAACCTTTACCATTGCTCACACTCCAGGAGGCCCGTGGGACTGAGACACCCCCCACCCCCAGAGAAGAGTGGGGGCCGCTTCTCTGTCTCAGGCTGGGCTTTGACACTTCCTGATGAGGGTACGATGGTAGTCCAGGCAGCCACACTGTTCTAGTTCTTCTTCTGTCTTTTACTCTCTTGAACTACTGAGCACGAAGAACTGAATTTGTGTGCCGTGCCTTGTGTGATGGCTCTGTCCTTAGCACAGGTCGCTCTGTGGTGGAACTCTGTAATGTGTTGGAAATAACGGTGATAGTTCCATGACACTGTTGTTGCTCTGACCATACAGAAATGTGAGCCTGTTTCGGAAGCCAAATGAATCATGTGTGGCCTTGGAGAGCCTTGAACAGAGAGGTGTGGTGTCTGTGCATGATTTAAAAACTGAGAACTGTTTTCATTCATGTCTTGAGATAACCAAGTTGGTGGGGGTAATTGTTTCCCTACTGAATCCGTAAAAGCCCTCTGATTCCTATGGCATTGATTTGAGGACCCTCTGCCTTCTAGTGTGAAGACATGGATTTCAATCACACTTTCCCGTGCTCTCAAGAGACGGTTACATGTGTACTCTTGGGCTGTGCAGCAGGTCCTACGCCGAGCACACAACAAGCGTCTCCATCATTCACAGCAAAATCGGCAACCTCGGAATGAGCACAGCTTGAAAGTGTGTGTTCCTGGCCCACTCCCTCCCCCGACTGGCCTGGGACCCCTCTGGTGCAGAGGACTAATAAATAGCAAAAGCAGGGCAGGAAGGCTCAAAAACACAAAGATGCACAAAGAGAATTATTTCCAAGGGAGAAGCTTTTCTGTTCTCCATGAGGCCTCTGCCGATCTCTCCAGGGTCTTTTTAGTAAGATCATTGGGTCAGTACTCATCTCTGACCATCAAATCTCAAACTCGGTGGGGATTTGCAGGCTTGTTGGTTTCTGCAAGCCAGGTGGGGCTGAACTTTGGAGGCCTGCTCGGTGGAGGTGGAACCTTTATAACCCTCAGATGATCACTGCCCTCGACAAACCAGTCCGAAAGTCAACAGAGCTTTAACAAACAATTCTCTTGTTTTACAGAGAGAGAATGCAAGCCATGGAGAAACAGATTGCCAGTTTAACTGGCCTTGTTCAATCTGCGCTTTTTAAAGGGCCCCTTACAAGTAATAGCAAAGATGCCTCTAGGTAAAAAGAAGAAAGCAACCTGATTCAAAATTAATTCAATCTGTTTCTCTTTAATGATTAAGATCATTCATTCATTCCAATCGTTTTCTTGTAATCATTTCAAGGCTGAAAATATCCACGTCTCTATGAATCATGGTTTGTTTGTTTGTCTGTCTGTTTCCGGTAATTCTTGGTCGAAGGTAACACTTTGGCCCAAGAAGGGTAAATGGGCTTCCCAGTGCATGTGGCTTTGTGGACCACTGCGCAGTGCCTGCCACCGCCCTCTGCACATCTCCACACCCTCCATCAGCTGAAAGTCATGAGTGCGCCTCCGCTGCACCCCTGGGAAGCCTTTTCCATTCCGGCCAAAAGTGGTGCCGATGCTGGAATACCTTCATTGCTTAATACCATCACTAGCTGCTGCTGATTGCTTGGAATAGTGAATGGAAGCAGGGAAGAAAAGCATTTTGGAAACTACAGAGCTGACTCTCTTTTTCTTTCCTTCAGCGAGAAAATGATGAAAACCACAGCCAGTAAGAACCAAACAGATGGTGCAGGTAAGTGTTCTTCAGACCCACAGGAGGTCTGGGAGCTGTCTTTGATGGGGCTGGTTTGCTTCTAGACCTATTAACCTCTCCCTACGTCACCTGTGTAATTAATTCGAGGTGGGGTTTGGGACTAAGCCATTTCGTCCTCTCCCTTCCATCTTCAGTTATTCACTTTCCTCATTCATTTATTCATTGATGAGGTTCTATACTCAACAAATACTTATGTGCCTGGGACTGGGTAAGGACAGTGGGCAACCTAGGACAGGGCTGCCTACCCACTAATCCAGTGCAGAAAATGGATCTGGGATAGATCATTGTATGATGAAAAGTGAAAGTGAAAGTCGCTCAGTTGTATCTAACTCTTTGCCACCCCATGGTCTATGCAGTCCATGGAGTTCTCCAGGCCAGAATACTGGAGTAGGTAGCCTATCCCTTCTCCAGCAGATCTTCCCAACCCAGGGATCGAACCCAGGTCTCCTGCATTGCAGGCGGATTCTTTTCCTGCTGAGTCCCCAGGGAAGCCCAAGAATCAAACCAGTGTCTAAACATTAAGAAAAGTACAGGATATACAGACAAGCAATAATAAAAACACAATGGTCCAGAACCTGTGGGATGACATACCATCTGCTGTCGCTTTCATCCTTGGTTTATATCCCTGAGGACAGAGCAGCTGGATTGTACTTGGCATCATGAGTTTCCCAACAAAAAATAATGGAAAGCTGATACATAAAATTCAGACCCTTAAAAAAAAATAACTTTTTTTTTTTTTAAATCAAGAAGAGAAAATCATTGGCTTCATAATTGGCTTGATATAATTATGTAGGGTCATCTACTGGATATTCAACAAAGTAAATTTTAAAAAGCAGGATAAATGTTTAACCATCAGGGCTGGCCTTGACCAGGGCCATTTCTCTGGGGGAAGTAACACAAACTGAAGCCAAAAGGATGAGGAGGGAAAGGAAGAGACACCCAGGCAGAGAGCAAAGCATGTACAGGTGCCATGGTGAGCAATTTAGATATTATTCTAAATGCACAGGGAAGGCAGTAGAAGGTTCTGCACTGGGGAAGGGCCTCAGCGCAGCAGCAGGATGTGACCGGATGAGAAAACAGAATGAGCTGATAGGGAGCCCGCAGGGGTCAAGGCAGGAGAAGGTGTACTTAGAACAAGGTCTGCTTTTAAACGCCAGCACTCCCCCAAAGGCCTGACTCTGGTATCTCAGACCGTGAAGAATCTGCCTACAATGCAGGAGACCCAGGTTCAATCCCTGGGTCGGGAAGATCCCCTGGAGAAGGGAATGGTTACCCACTCCAGTATTCTTGCCTGAAGAATCCCATGGACAGTCTATGGGGTCACACAGAGTTGGACACAACTGAATGACTAACACTTTCACTCCCCCCAAAAAGGCCCCAGTTATATTCCCTGTTGACTTCACTAGTATCCGGGTATACATATACATTTTTATAATAGAAAATGTGCATTTCTGGTGGTCTGGCCTCATTTGATCTCTTTTTTTTTTTTTCCCAATATTTACTTACTCATTAGTTTGGCTGCACCAGGTCTTAGCTGTGGCACGTGGGATCTTTTTAGTTGCAGTATGTAGGAACTCTTAGTTGCGGCATGTGGGATCTAGTCCTCTGACCAGGGATTGAACCTGGGTCCCCTGCGTTGGCAGCATGGAGTCTCAGCCACTGGACCGCCAGGGAAGTCCCTGTCCATGTATACTTGATATTCATCTTATCCTGCAGGCTCAAGGAGGGCCTCTCTCAAGAACATGGTGTCTTCCTTTCCCTTGGGTTAGAAATAGACATCATTACCAGGGACACATCTGGCTGTTGAATTACTCAAGAAGCACATGGCACGTTGGCTGAAACTGCTAACGGGGGGAAAGCCACAGAGGGTGTTAGTGCCACATGGCAGAATGGACAGAACTGGGGCCTTATGTTGAGATGTCTGCTGGTCCTGATTCTGCCCTAGCCCAGTTCAGGCTCTTCAGCTCTAAAGCCAGCAGGGCTGTTCTTCTTCCAGAATTCCCGGTCCTCACAGAGATTGGTTGCTTTGCTTAGAAATCAACCAACGACCTTGACTGCAGCCAGAGAATTGTTTGTGGTAACTGCTGAGCTCGTCTTCAGAGCACCTGCCAGTTTGCTTGGGAGATACTTATTCACTTATTTTCTGATCATAAACCTATGGGGGGAAAAGGCACCAACTGACCTTGCAGAAACAGAGAGCAGATGGGTGGTTGCCTGTGGGTGGGGGACATAGAAGATTCTGGTCAAAAAGGACCAGCTTCCAGTTAGAGGATGAATAAGTTCTCACATACTGTGTGGTGATTGTAGATAACAGTATTGAACTGGGCACTTGAAAGTTGCCAAGAGAACAGATCTTAAATGTTCTCACCCCAAGAAAGACGTGGTAATTATGTGACAGGATGAACATAACGTTTTTGATAGGTAATAATCCTATGGCCATGCATTAACTGTGTCAAGCTGACACATTTTACATCTTAAAGTTACACAGTATTGTATATTATATCTAATAAAGTCGGGGTGCTACCATTAAACAGACACTAAAACATTCTGTTCCTCTGGCTTCTATTCTAGAAATGATTAGTATCCACTACCACTGTAATCAATGTGTACATGCTGTTTTGTATCCTTCTTTATGGAATTTCCCTTTTGTGGGGTGTGTGTGTGTGTTAGTTGCTCAGTTGGGGTGGGTGGGTGTGTGTGTGTGTGTGTTAGCCACTCAGTAGTGTCTGATTTTATGACTCCATGGACTGTGGCCCGCCAGGCTCCTCTGTCCGTGGAACTTTACAGGCAGGAATGAATGGGTTGCCAGTTCCTCCACCAGGGGATCTTCCCAACCCTGGGATTGAACCTGCATCTCTTGCATTGGCAGACAGATTCTTTTACCACCACGCCACTGGGATGAAATAATAATAATAGGAAGCATTTAGTGAGTGTTTCCTATGTACCAGGCAATATTTATTCTGAGCGCATTTCTATGCCTGAACTTGTTAACCCCTGACGCAGCCTCATGGGATAGGTACACTCATGATTCCCATGTTCCAGATGAGGAAACTGAACACACATTCATACACACGTGACACATGTCAACATGCTCCACAGCCTGTCCTGATGTCTCATCCTTTTGTGTTACGGTGCCCCAGTCCCTTTAAAGAAAGGTGGTTTCGTTTCTTTGTTTTGAACGTTTTTGCCAGTGTCTTTTTTGAAGCATGAGGGAAGGAGCAGGTGTTATTTCTTCAGAATGCATTTCCCAGAGTGGAATCAATGAGTCCGAAGGGACGAGCAGCTGAGGAGCACTGGCGACACACCGCCAGCTTTCTCCTCTGAAAGGCTGAGCCAATTTGCAATGCCATCGGCAACACGCACATGGGTTTGCTCCTCTGCGTCTCTGCAGAGTTTGGCCTTTCTCATTGTGATGTGTCAGGGCTACCCGTGGTCCACAGGGCTTTCGTTGCCATAGCAGCCTTGTATGGTGTGAAAAATAAATTAATTCTTCTGGAATCCTAGGAGGTCAGTGACAAGACAGGAAGTGTTATCCCTGTTCTGTAGACAAGTACACGGAATTCTGTAGTGAATCAAGGAGCTCGTTGGGTCAAGGGTACCTGAAAAAGGGAAGCCCAGACTTCCTGTTACTTTAGGAATATCTGGTTTACCGTGGGTATAAAAGAACAGAAGGAACCTCCCTTTTCAAAGTCATAACCTGTGTTTTATAGTGTATTACATCGTTTAAACACATAACCCTGTAAGGAAGATGTTAGCCACGGAGCTAGTAAGTTCTCAGCCAGCCTGGCCAACCCTAAACCCATGTTCTTCCTGTTACAACGGTGCACGTTAAGATACACCTCAAGGGAACTTCTCTGGTGGTCCAGTGGCTAAGACTCCACGGTCCCAATGCCGGGGGCCTGGGTTCAATCCCTGGTCGAGGAACTAGATCCCACATGCCACAACCTAAGACCCAGCACAGCCAACTAAATAAATTAAAAAAAAAAAAAAAGATTCTCAGCCAGTCTGGCCAACCCCTAAACCCATGTTCTTCCTGTTACAACGGTGCACGTTAAGATACACCTCAAGGGAACTTCTCTGGTGGTCCAGTGGCTAAGACTCCACGGTCCCAATGCCGGGGGCCTGGGTTCAATCCCTGGTCGAGGAACTAGATCCCACATGCCACAACCTAAGACCCAGCACAGCCAACTAAATAAATTAAAAAAAAAAAAAAAGATTCTCAGCCAGTCTGGCCAACCCCTAAACCCATGTTCTTCCTGTTACAACGGTGCACGTTAAGATACACCTCAAGGGAACTTCTCTGGTGGTCCAGTGGCTAAGACTCCACGGTCCCAATGCCGGGGGCCTGGGTTCAATCCCTGGTCGAGGAACTAGATCCCAAATGCCACAACCTAAGACCCAGCACAGCCAACTAAATAAATTAAAAAAAAAAAAAAAAGATTCTCAGCCAGTCTGGCCAACCCCTAAACCCATGTTCTTCCTGTTACAACGGTGCACGTTAAGATACACCTCAAGGGAACTTCTCTGGTGGTCCAGTGGCTAAGACTCCACGGTCCCAATGCCGGGGGCCTGGGTTCAATCCCTGGTCGAGGAACTAGATCCCAAATGCCACAACCTAAGACCCAGCACAGCCAACTAAATAAATTAAAAAAAAAAAAAAAAGATTCTCAGCCAGTCTGGCCAACCCCTAAACCCATGTTCTTCCTGTTACAACAGTCCACATTAAGATACACCTCAGCTGAAGTAAGTTACCTGAGAGCAGACTTGGCAGGAGGGAGAAGGGCCATTGCCTGGACAGGGCTGGGTGTGCAGAAGGGAGCAGCCAAGAGTGACCCGCACACCGACCACCCTCCGCAGACTGGGAAGTGCCCATCCCGCGTGTGGGTTCAGAGAGTGGACCCCAGGTCCTGAGGCTCTAGCATGAAGCGGGGACTCACTCACCACTCGGGGTCCCCGCCCACCAGACCCAGCTCTAGCCGCAGACTTGAGGGCGGTTGCTTGTAGCGCTCAGCCTGTCACTGCTGCCACTCCACGTGGGGAGGGGGACCCAGGAGGGGCTCTTCCGCTCGCTCTGCCCAGAGAAGTGATCATTACAGCCCAGCAACCGCAGTGGGGCCCTGTGCCAGAAACGTGGAGCAGTCCCTGTGGGTGAAGTCCATCATCCTGCACAGTCACACCCACGCCCAGTTTACAGATGAGGAAACTGACAGGAAGAGAGACAGCTAGGACATGGATACGGAGAGTGATTTCTGGGTTTCTGGTTTAAATACTTGAGTGGATAATAGGGCCACTGGCTAAAATTAGTTCAAGAGAGACAGAAAGAGGTTTGGGGGGTGAAACAGGTAGAAATAATGAATTTGACCTGCTTGTGGAAAGGTCCTGAAGAGACGGTAAGGTCTGGGGATGTGGCTGAATTGTGTGCTGGAGGCAGAGGTGTGGGGGACCTTGGCAGGTGGTGGTCATGGAAGTGACCGCCTTGAAACCATGTCCAGTGAGAGGAGAAGCAGGCCAGGATGCAGAAGGCTGGCCGAGGAAGAAATTAAGAAAGAGGCTGACCAAGACAGGGCAGGGAAGAAGACAAGGGCAAGGAAAGTTTCAAAGTTCCTGAGAAAGAAAAGAAGTGACTGACAAAGCCCAGCGTCACATCAGGGTGCTGTTGTGGCAACCCAGAGTCTATTGGGTTGACAGCTGACCACTGGCCACGGTATTTATTTTATTATTTGTTTATATTTGGCTGTGCTGGGTTTTTGTTGCTGCACGTGAGCTTTCTGTGGTTGCAGTGAACGGGAGCGGCTCTTCGTTGAGGTGTGAGGGCTTCTCACTGCGGTGGCTTCTTGTTGTGGAGCATAGGCTCTAGGGCACGCGAGCCCAGTTAATTGTGGCGCATGGCCTGTGTCACCCTGCAGCATGAGGGGCCTCTCCAGAGCAGGGATTGAACCCCGGCAGGTGGGTTCTTAACCACTGAACCACCAGGGAAGTCCCATTGGCCATTTTATAAAGGGCCAATGCAGTGAATGATGGAGTTACGGAAGCCAGGTTTAGTGGATTGGGAGGTTATAGATGAGGAAGTTTTATAAATGAGCGTGAGAAGCTTGGTTCTGAAAGGTATTTTTAAAGCCAGTTATCAGAGTTCAACTCTCACAGATGGTAAGTAAACTTGGGCCTCTCCTCTGTGGAGGATGGCAGTGAGGTGCACTGGTGCCCTCAGAATAGAAGAGGAGAAGCATGATTGTGGAAGGAATATGTATCTTTGTTTGGCTGAGGAACTCTCAGGACAGTTCTCATTATAGAACAGGAGTAACTGGCTATAGTGCAGTGTCATTTCTGTTGGAGAAATACCTTGAGGATGTCGTTGTTGTTATTTGTACAAATGACGTTGTGTGGTGTGTGTGCATGTACACATGCATCTATGCTTGAGGATATGGAGTGATGATCCCTTGACTGATTTAAAGACTTCTAATTCATTGTCTTCCCTTCAGAATACTTGGTCTTAGAGGCGCTGTGTTAACTTGGTCAAGCTGTTATTGTTGAAAATGTTACTGGATGTCCTTTCACTGAGGACCTTCACAGTTAGAGAACACTCTCTGGAGTAACTGCAGAGATAGCAAATCTTACTCTTGTAAAAACTGTTTGTTAATTTGGCTGCTCCAGGTCTTAGTTGCGGCACACAGGATCTTTGATCTTCATTGTGACACACGAACTCTTAGTTGTGTGGCACGTGGGCTCTAGTTCCCTGACCAGCAGTCGAACCCGGGCCCCATACATTGGGAGCAGAGTCTTAACCACTGCACCCCCAGGGAAGTTCCCTATCTTGCTCTTTCAAGGGGGATTTTCCATCTGGAGGGCAAGTGGTCAAAAGTTAGCCCAACTTTTGTTGGTGATGACATGAGGGACTGGTTTGGCTCATAAAGGTAACAGAAAGCTCGTTGTCTGTCTGCTGGGCTCCTTTGTTAATCCTTAAAAGGCTTCCCATCTGTTCCCCTGACTTCCCAAGGGGGCTGTGAGAGCTGGGAGATGGGTTCTGTTAGGACGGGCACACAGGGATGAGGGAGGTGGTGCTCCATCAGCTCTGAACCGGCGTTGCTGAGGCCAAGCAAGCAGGAGGACACTGTGGAGGTACCTCCATGCCCACTGGCACACCGCCCGTGGCCGCCCATGGAGGCTCACGGGGCAGTGTGTCCTGGGGAAGGAGAGGAGATGGACGGACGGGCCACTGTGCTCTAAGCACTCCAGGCACACACACGGAGCAGCAAGCGGGCCCTGCCGAGCGAAGGCAGCCTGGGCTGGGCACACCTTCTGCTTCCTCCCTTCCAAGAAGGAGGGCTGAACAGCGCCTCCAGGGGTGGGTGGGTGTGTGTGTCTGTGTGTGTCTGTGTGTTGTGGATTCCTTGTCTACTCTCTACGTGAAGCCTGTTCCACTGAACTGCATTGTCGTAAACAGGAAGTAGCATAGTATCTCCTTTTGATTCCCACACCTTGCTGATCCTGTGTTACTAGGGATCCGTTAGGGGTCACTTTGGTTTTTTTTGGCCGTGCCACTCAGCATGTGGGATCTTAATTCCCTGACCAGGGATTGAACTCTCGCACCCTGCATTGCAAGCTCGGAATCTCAACTACAGGACCACCAAGGAAGTCCCTTGGGGGCATTTTTGAAGCAAGCTTGCTCAAATCAGGCCCTTCCTAAATGGACTTAGGAACTACAAGAGGATGATTTAAGTTGGACTCAGGGAGCAAAAAATTATGGCAGTGGCAAAACTGTTCAGGAAGAGTTTCTGTCTGCTGCCTTTTTTTGGTTCTTCTCCCAAAGAATATTAGCATCAGGCCTGATTTCCTCACTAAAGGAGATGTGTGCAGAGGGCCTGCTGCTTTTAGTCAGGAAATTCCAAGGGACTCAGGAGAGTACCCAGTCCTTATCAGCTTTCCCCCCGGCCAAATCTCTGCCCAGAACTGTGGGTCTTCTTGGGATATATCTGCCTACAGGAACAGTCACATGAGTGCCCTGTTAGGACCCAGAGGTCTAAATTATTAATGTTTTTTTCTATTATAAAATTGTAGGAACTTCCCTGATGGTCCAGTGGTTAGGACCCTGTGCATCCATTGCAGGGGGCATTGGTTCCATACCTGGTCAGGGAACTAAGATCCCACATGCCGCATGGTGAGGCCAATAAATAAGATACACAGACAGGCAGCTAGCTTCTTTAACATGGCATCATGCTCCACCTACCGCCCTGCGATCTGCCTTCTTACAGCACCAAACTTCTAGAACATGACTTCTCCAGGCTGCGTACTATAACATTGGATGCACGTTCCCTAATTTATTTAAACCCAATTCCCCCTTTTTTGTCCTTTAGAGAGCCAATATCATTTTAAAGATTTTTTTTTTCCCCCACAATGAGGAAATGGGGATTTTCTGTGTTGGGATGGGACTTGCAGCTTTGACTGCCCCTTCCTGGCATCTCAGGGATTTCACTGCTCTTTTTTCCTAGGAACTCCCCATGTTTCCGGTGGGAAGACTCTTGGCGCCGCCGTGGAGTCCTCAGGGCCGCCCGGCCAGCTGGCGCCTGCCAGCGCCTCTGCAGTCCACGCGAGCCTGCTCGACATGAGGCGGAGCGTGGCCGAGCTCAGGCTGCAGCTGCGGCAGATGCGACAGCTCCAGGTACAGCCCGCGTTCCCCGTGGACGGTCTCCTCTGACACAGGTTCCTCCTCCCGCCGCCGCCTCCCGCACAGCACCTTGCTGGTGGCGTTCTCTGCGGCATCTTTCCGTAGGGATAACTGAGGGCCAGGATGCAGGCGCCGTGACACCCTGGGCTTCTCTCTCTCACACGTCATCTTGGTCTAGAGCCTTCCGCCGCAACGACAGTCTGTAGCCACTTCTATAAGCTGCGCGTGCTTCTTACACATGAAAAAACCATTAAGCATCTGTTGTTGTTGTTTTCCTTTTTTTTTTGAGGAGAGCGGGAAGCAGAGGAGCCCCGTGGTGGAGCGTTCCCATAGCCAGTTAGGACTTCCTGCTTCCTAGGGTTTGGCTTTTGCGCTTCCCCCATGAGCACGTGCAGAGGCGCTGCCAGCAGCTCAGGGGTTTTACAAGGGAAAAAAAAAAAAATCTTTGTATTTAGAACTAGGAGTTCAAGCAAGAGGGTGAATTCATAAGGAAAAGGAGCCATCGCCGATGATTTGAGAGAAACATCTGCATTGTTATTTGCATAGTGTGCCTTCCGTAATACTTCCCTTACCGTTTCCCATTCTTAGGAATATATGAACTACACGGGAATCAAAGGGCAGGGGAAAATGACCCTTCCTGTCACCAGGCATGGTGACTAAATCCCATAAATCTGACTTGGCGTGGCTGGCCCAGGGTGATAAGGAACTGGGAAGGTGTATCTTTATGAGATCATGTGTCTGCTCTGAGGATCAGCCTCACCCCTCCCTGCCCCTGGTGGCAGGCTGGTGACTGAGGATGTAGTGCTGGCTTAGACGATGCCCAGGCATCCTCCTCAACTTCAAGGAGGCTCGTGGTCCACCAAACGTTAGGAGCGGGGAGTAGCCACAGGTGTGGCATCCTCAGGGGCAGGCAGGCTCCTGTGCGCGAGTCCCCTAAGGAAGGGGCACTCCAAACCCCAGCTGCTCTCACTTCAGCTTGCCATGTGCAAGCCCTCCACTTCCCACTGCCTGAGTAAAGCTAAGACAGTGATTTCCCCTGCCCTCTACCTCCGGGAGAACTAACAGAAGGGAAGGTTAACTTGAGAGCCTGCCCTGAGCCCTATCACAGACCACACAACTCAGCTCGGGTCTCCAAAGGCTAGTTTGGCGCATCCCAAACCCCTCGGACCTCCCACACAAGTTCACTTCAGTCCTCCCTGAATCATGTCGCCAGGAAGTTCCCCATCCTTTGCATTCACTTTTCCTTGCGTTGCTGTTTTTAAGACACTTCCAGTGAAATGAGGTGTACAGGGTGGCGCAATTCACTGCCCGCAGTGAACAGGCAGTAACTCAGCAAGCGAGTGGACGCAGGACAGTGGCGAGTTGGCACCTCTGACAGACAGTCGCCGCTCCACTCCAGGCAGCCCTTAACCTGGTAAAGTGAGTCCAGCATTTCTAGATGTTTCAGTATCTCAAGAGAATCTGGAAATAGAGGTTTTTGTTTTGTTAGTATTTATTTGGCCGCATCAAGTCTTGGGCTTCCCAGGTAAAGAACCCACCTGCCAGTGCAGGAGACCTAAGAGATGCGGTTTCTGTCCCTCCATCAGGAAGATCCCTTGGGGAAGGAAATTGACAACCTACTCCAGTATTCTTGCCTGGAGAATCCCATGGACAGAGGAGCCTGGCCGGCTATAGTCTATGGGGTCGCAAAGAGTCAGACACGACTTAAGTGACTGAGCACGTAGTGAGCATGTCTTAGTTTGGCACGTGGGATCTAGTTCCCCAATCAGGGATCGGACCCAGACCCCCTACACTGGGAGCTCGGAGTCTTAGCCACTGGACCAAAGGGAAGGCACAGGACGCATAGATGTTTTATATAAAATATCTACGTTCATTCTAAAAATGTTGGAAGGTAATTTAAAATTCATTTCATAATCTGCAGGCCAGAGGGCATGCGTGCAGGCCAGCACACGTGTGAGCTCCTGGGTTCTTTGCTGGTGGTAAGGAGGTTCAGCCTCCATCTTGCACTGCATCTGCCTTCTACTGCCACCTGCTGATCAAATTGGAAATTGTGCGCTCCTAGTCTCAAGAGTCAGACACAACTTAGTGACTAAACATTTGGACCCTCACAAGGAAAAAAAGTCCTAAATGTGTCATTTGCAAGGTGGTTCCTACTGCTTTCAAAAGTGAGCATTTGTTGGTGTGGGGTCAGAGGTGGAATTGCCGTGAAGTGTGGCAAATCTGATACCCGGGGGCTGTGATGTATGGGGTGGCGGCATCACCCTGCTAGTGGCTGGCCGTGTTTGGTCCTCTGGCCGGGGTGGGGGGCCGGGGAGGGACCTCCCACAACTTGCCACTCCTTGTAACCCTTGAACTGAGGAGGCTCAGCTGCAGAATCATAGCTTCTCAAACAAAGAGGTGCTACAGTCAGTTCCGGGTCGCTATCTTAATTACACAGGTTCCTTAATTGCCCCCGAACTGCTCAGCTTTCCTGGCTTTCAGGGTAAAGAACATGGAGCAGGTGTGCTCTTTTCTTTGTTTAAAAAAAAACAGGTCTTTATTTGGCCACACTGGGTCCTAGTTGCATCACATGGGATCCTTTGCCGCAGTGCATGGACTCTCTAGTGACGCAGGCTCAATTCTTGCAGTGAGTGGGCTTAGTTGCCCCACAGCATGTGGGATCTTAGTTCCCTGACCAGGAATCGAGCCAGCATCCACTGCATTGCAAGGCAGATTCTTAACCACTGGACCACCAGGGAAGTCCCCAGGTGTGCTCCTGAGCTGAGACCCTGGTGCGGTTCTAAAGTGCAGACACTCAGAGAAGGAGAAGCATTTTGATCCCTAACCTGGATGCTCTTGTTTCTGCCTCAGTCTTGGCATCCTCTGTGCCTCCATCAGCTTTCAGGGGAGTCTGTTTGAGACCAAACCAGTTTAGAATAACTCAGCCATCTTAGCACCAGTTCCCCCTCGGCGCATGTATTATACACCAAAAGGGAAGTGCAGGCCCACAGTGATTATAAGCCCAATAATGGAGCTATCATTAGAGAGCTCCGAAACTCCAGAACAGTCTCAAAAGAACAAAAATTGAATTAGAAATTCAAATGTTCTTTGAACTGTGTTATAAAATAGTGAAAACGAATGAAATCTTTTTTGTGCTTGGCAGCCGGCTCTGGTAATTAGATAATTAAATCAATGGGAAAATCCTAGACTGTCAGGCATAGCCTGTGTGAGCATTTCATTTGCAAAATTGATGGATTATTCTCAGAAGTAGAAATTTGATGCAGACACCATGGGGTGTGTAGATTTAAATACGGCAAAAAGAATGTCGAGGGAGGTGAAAGAGCCTGAGATGATGATGATGAAAACCACGGGAAGTTTGCTCCCGTTTTCCTGCTCTCCAGGCTAATGTGAATTTTCAGTCTAAGAGAACAGTTCTTAATTCTGGCAACCCATGAGAACCACCTGAGGCCTTGCAGAAAAATGTGAATACTTGAGTGCCACTGCCAGAGTCTGACTTCATTGGTTGTGGATCAAAGACCAGACATTGGTGACTCTAGAATGTTCCAGGGTGAGAGGTACTGCTTTCAGACATTATGAATTCTTTGTCCATTGAGATGCCACATAGGAATTGACATCTCAGTCAGCTGTCACAACGAGTGAAGCAGAAATACCCTGTATGCCTGAACAACACACTTGGTGATTTCAAAGCCCTAACTCTAAACAATGTACCTCTTTCCCAGAGACTAATCAAAACATGCTCTCTACTTACTCATGACTGATAGGAGCTACATGGACCTTTTATATTGTGATGGTCTCATTCCAGGCAGGAGCTGCACCTGCAGTTAGCTGAAAACAGCAGAAAGAGACAGGGGAAGGCCTAGCGCCTAACAAATGTGCCCTTCCAAAGGTGATCATCTTTGTCTATTACCCTTTCTGGTATGATTTAGGAAAAAAGTGAAGAGCTACATCATTGTCCCAAAATGCCACTATCCTTAGGTTTTATGCAGGTCATCCAGTACCACAGGAGTGACTGCTGTTCTGCCTCTCTTTATGGGCTAAAGGGAGAGAGATATTTCTGGAAGAGAGGGTTCAAGTTCTGTGAACTTGAACTTGGCCTAACGTTGAGATGGATACATCTTTCTCCAGTTGCCACAGTTTTCTTCTTGGTCCCTCATCTCCTCCTCCTGCTTCTTGATAAATTAAAAATTGGATTATTCTGAACTCAGTGTTCCATTTTTAAGACTACTGAGAATTAACCATGTCTTCCAAGAGAGGGAGGAGGTAAAATATCAACATAAAAAAGAAACACAGCAGGACACAGAGCCCTTGTACTTAAAACGATATAATTCAGTACCGTTATCGTAAGGTGTCTTTTTATAAGATAGTGCCTCATAGGAATGTGCCAGGGTCTCATTTATCTTCTGATGTTCAAAACAACGGTAATGGGAATGTATGTCCCTGAGAAAAGCATGCAGGATGTTGGCCCATACTGAGCAGACCTATTTCTCCCCACCCGGCAGAAATAATAAATGGAACTGGCACAGGAGATGACAGTCAGGCTGCCATGCAATGTGTCAAGCCCTAGACATGCCTACGCCGGCTAAGATGGGGCACATCTCTCAGATATCATGTGCTTGGTGAGCAGGCATCCTATACCTGCTTGCCTGCAGCCTGGGGAGCTAACTGGGGAAAAACTCCTGGTCAGGAGTCATTCTGACTGGTATGGCAGTCATGAAACTTCCTGATGCATTGTACAGCCCCTGTTTACTGTCACTGCCAGACAGCAAAATCAGTTCAATTAAACCACACTGTTGGCAAGCCAGATAGTCTTAGATTTTACCTAAGAACTCACTATGACACTCACAATGAGTATGTGAGGCACATGTCCATTTTGAGGTGAGTGGAATTTGGTTTAAGCAGTTTCCTACCTTCTCAGGGAAGCTGACAGAAATAATTTATTTCATCCAGTTAAAAATTTTTAAATATACGTGTATTTGTTTGGCTACATTGGGTCT